ACTCATGATTTTTACTTTATTCATACACAGGTGATCAGTGTATCTTTTCTCACTCTCATGTCATTCCAAACTTTTCTTCTGTGGAGCACAAAAACTTATTTTTTTTCTCCAGATAATGAAAGTCAGTGGGGTCCAGTGTTGTTGGAGAAAAACGTTTCTTCTGTTTAAACAGTAAACAAATGTTCAAATTACACTCATCGGCCACTTTATTAGGTGCACTTGTTCAACTGCTCGTTAGTGCAAATATCTTGTCAGCCAATCCCTTGGCAGCAACTGGAGACATGGTCAAGAAGATCTGCTGAAAAACCAAGAATCAGAATGGGGAAGAAAGGTGGCTTTGAATATGGCATGGTTGTTTGTGCCAGATGGGCTTGTCTGAGTATTTCAGAAACTGCTGATCTACTGGAATTTTTATATACAACCATTTCTAGGGTTTACAGAGATTGGTCCAAAAAGAGAAGATATCCAATAAGCAGCAGTTCTGTGGGTGAAAAAACCTTGTTGATGCCAGAAGGCAGAGGAGAATGGCCAGACTGGTTCAAGCTGATAGAAAGACAACAGTAACTCAAATAGCCACTCGTTAGAACCAAGGTATGCAGAAGAGCATCTCTGAACATTGAACCTTGAATCAGATGGGCTAGAGGAGCAGAAGACCACACCAGGTGCCACTCCTGTCATCAAAGAACAGGAAACCGAGGCTACAATTGGCACGGGCTCACCAAAATCGAACAATAGAAGATTGGAAAAAGGTTGATAGGTCTGAAATACGGATGGTAGGTTCTGAATTTGGCGTAAACAACATGAAAGCATGGATCCATCCTGCCTTGCATCAACGGTTCACACCACAGCTTACCTAAGTATTGTTACTGACCATATCCATCCTTTATCTTGTGATGGCTACTTCCAGCAGGATAACACACCATGTTACAAAGCTCAAATCATCTCAAACTGGTTTCTTAACCATGACAGTGAGTTGGCTATACTCAGATGGCTTCCACAGTCACCAGATCTTTGGGATGTGGTGGAACGGGAGATTTGGATCATGGATGTGCAGCTGACAAATCTGCAGCAACTGTATGATGTTATCATGTCAATATGAACCAGAATCTCAGAGGAATGCTTCCAGCACCTTGTTGAATCTATGCCATGAAGAATTAAGGAAGTTCTGAAGGCAAAAGGGGGTCCAGCCTGGTACTAGCAAGGTGTACCTAATAAAGTGGCCGGTGAGCGTATCTTCTTCAGTGTTCCATATAGAAAAAGAAGTTCATACAGGTTTGGAACAACATGTGAATGAAAAAATGATGACCGAAATTTCATTTTTGGGAAAACTATCTTTTATATATTTGTACTGATTGTCTTATCTATCTATTTTTCTGTTTGTGTTAAAAAACCATGAAGACAACAAACTTAGTGAGATGGTCTCAAATCCCACTAGGTTGTGCAATAATAAGCAAATTTCCGTTTTCGCACATAACTCTACCAAACAAAAATGTATAATTGTCTTTCATTCATAGTACATAGTTAAAGCATGCCAAATATATAATAACAAGGACAAATTTGTCAGTTCACATCCTGAATGTTACATATGTTTTAAAATCAGAGTTTATTAAATCAGTAAAACATTACTGTCATCATAAGAATCACAGTTGTTGAGGTGGTCTCACCTGCAAACAGGTCTCCTGGTGTGATTTTTTCAACATAAATAACAGAAAATAAAGGCAGGTCGGCTTGACTCATGCCGGCTCAGCTCAAATCTGGACCATTACCCAGTGATTCAACACATTCAGCATTGCTGAGAGACAGTGGAACAGAGCCAATGGGTTTTATGAGGACATATCTCACAAGTGTTGTCAGGACAATCCCGTCCGCGATAAGTACTCGTATCGTCCATTTTCTCACCGCGTGATTGGAATTTCATATTTCCATCCTTCACATACAAATGGAAATATTGCACGTCCAAACACATTCGCATCTCGCCGCTCATAACATCGTGCCAGGAGTCACCCAGCCTGCAAATTGCCCGTGGAAAATTCTTGTTTGCTTGACTATTATGCATGCCACATACTATTCAGACCTTTGTGTTGGCGTATCCCCTGCATGAACAATTTCAGCCACGGGACTATGACATTTCCAAAACCCGTCTGCAATCGGTCACGGCGCACGAAATCCCTGAAATATTTTCATCAGGCGATGCATCTCCCAGCATCTACATTCAGAAACATTATCCTGTCCTTGATGTTTTATCATTAGTTGGGAAGTGTTTGGGCTCCTACTGAGATCTTTTGATGGAGCACAGACAATAAAGTGATGGAGACAGCCAGCCAATTTTGCCTGCTGCGACTGTTCCCCAGCAAGGCGCCTGAGTATCTGTGCTAAAAAGTGGAATGATAGTCACATAGTACAATAGCTTGGCCGCATTTGCCAGCGCCCCATTATTCCACTGATTGTGCGATGGCTGTATCCAATATGACTGTGTGTTTATTAATAAATGATTCTCATAATGTAATTTTCTCTTTCTCCCGTTTCATTACTCGCCACATGATAGGAAAGCTGCCTAAAAGATTTGAATCAAGTCGAGTGGACCTTTTTGGTTTTCTGCACTGCACGTAAATCCCATGTGCTTTTCGGATGCAAACTTTAGGACTGACCATCCGAGCGGTGAAATCGGATCCGTTTGTTTTGGCCTTGTAAGTCAATATCTGCTACATCTACATCAGTTGCTGTAGTAATGATGTAAGCGTCAGCAAGATGCCGTGAAACTTTCTCATACAACATCTGAGTGCAGCTGTCAGAGAGGACGGGAAATGGAAATTTTGCCTCTGCTCACGTCCATCACTGCATCTCACCGCAGAGCTGAAATCACAAGGCACATTCATGCAAATACTGCTGATTTATTTTACTCATTCATTATACAGGGCATTCGGACACAGCTGCAGACTGTATTGCACAATTTTGTGTGACATTACATACGCAGTGTGTCGGAAAACGCCGATCGGATGCGTTCCAAAAAAGTCTGATTTTAATCGGATTGGATGGGGTTTGGATCACTTTGTAAACATCGGATTTCATGTGGGTTTTTTTCCGCTGTTCAGTCTACAAACAAAACAACTAAACGGATTTGAGTCAGATATGCCAAAACATCGGATTTTTGCTGCATGTCTGAACAAAGCCTTTGGCACAGTGTGTTTTGTTTAATTACACGGCTTGTGTCGGCCAGTGTCATGCCCATTGAAATGCAAGCTTTATACTATTGCTTGGACGTCTAATTCTATATTACTTAAGCTGCCGTTTTCTATTATTGCAGGTAGTAAGCCCATTATTTCAATTCAAGTCATTTTCTTTACATGTTTCTTACATTACATTTGATCAAATATCTATAGCTGGCCAATTTGCCTTCAGCTGTTTCAATAACACTGTTTTGCAAGATAATGCTTCACAGTCAGACATGCAATTTCATGTAAAAGCAAAATAACAGGCCATTTTTCATTTCAATCAAGGATATTAATGAGCTATTGTCTGAATTAAGCCCCCTTTACATTTGGACATTCTTTAGTGCATCTGCACCTTGTATTATAGTATATCTCAAGTGTGATTTAATAAAAGTCAGCCTGCAATTACCCACATAAAATGGAAAGCACAACTTATATATTACATCAGAGGTTGCACAAACTGAGCATGTTCCATGTTTTACCAAATATCAAAGACATTAACGGATAGGCTAGTTTAAAACATTGTATGTCTTTTTGACATATTTAAAAAAGGGAAAGTCACTTTAAAGAGCTGAACAACTGGGTTTTAGGGAGAGTTTAGGATAATTAATTTTTGATTACATCAAAAAAATTACATAATTATATTTAATTACAAATTAATTCCACATTTAATTACTCTCAAAATAAATTAATACTTTTATTTAGCAAGGATGCATTAGATTTATTAAAAGTGACCGTAAAGTGACTTTTAAATTTAAATTTCGAATGAATCATGAATTAAAAAAAAGAAACAAAAAAAATGTTTTCAACATTGATAATAATAAAATGTTTATTGAGAACTAAAATCAGCATATTATAATGATTTCTGAAGGATCATGTGACATTGAAAACTGGAGTGATGATGCTGAAAATTCAGATTTTCCATGACAGGAATAAATTACATTTAAAATTTTACTTGTAAAATTTAAGTTGTAATAATATTTCACAATATTACTGTTTTATTGTATTTTTGACCAAATAAATGCAGCTTTAGTGAGCACAAGAGACAAAAATTTAACACATCATGCTAAATTGGTTTGTAGTTTATTCCCTCATTAAAGCCATTAAATACACATTCTTGTACATTTCCCTATTTGTCCAGTTTTCAAATACATTTTTGTTTCAATTCAGACTTTGTAATGTTTTGATTAATCTCAGAGCTGGTTGGTTTGGTTCACGTCTTTGAACTCGTTGATGAAGATAAAAAAAAAATCCCTATGGAAAAAAAATGAATAGAAAAAATTTTTTCGGAACCAAGACGGCTTAACAAGTGGGCAGGCACTGTTGCGCTCTATTGCATTTCCCTGCTTTAGAAACATTCCCACAGTAAAAGGATGCTAATAAGGCTTAGAAGTGAAGAAAATGGGAGACAATAAAGTTTTGAATTGCCCCTGTGAGGATCTGGAAAGAGAAACAGGATATTGTTCATTAAATTAGATGACCAGATCCTAAGACCTGATAAAAGAACAGCATGTTGGAAAATGTACAAATCATTCCATCAAAATGACAGATATTGATCTGTTATTATGCAGGCAAGTCTTGGAAAACAAGACTTTAAGTAAAGATTTTTGCCCAGTAAATGTAGTCAGGTTTATGGTATGATGACAAAAATGTTCCCAGGTGTAAAGGGGTCTTTGGTAAAGAGATGTTCCTCTTTCTTTCAAATATCTCTATCATACTAACATGATGGCTTTTGTGACTTCTCTCCTTCATTTAATACCTCTTATGTGTGTTTTCATTTTCTCCATCTAGATGTTCTCACCACAACCCCCCCACCCACCACTACCACCATCAACGCTTTCCAAGGTACAGTATCCCATCTGAGCTGCAGGGTTCTCACTCCATCTCACCCTTTTTTACATTTTTCCTGTGTCCTGCTGTGCTTGTGCATCTAAGTGTATGTGCGTGTGAGAGAGTGTAAGTATGCCGCTGATGCATGTTACTGTCCATGAGCTAAAAAAGACAGCGGGAAGAGGGTAAAGTGCAGGGGCTCGTGCAGAGACAGGCAGGCCGCCCTAATAAGATCTCGACGCAGATAGTGGACTCAGTGGCCTCGCGGCGCCTCGCCGTCATTGTCACTTGTCAGGTTGTGCTTGTCAAATCCTTTTCTGTCACTCGCTTGATCTTTCACCATAGAGATTCATTTTGGAGCGAAAATCTTATCAGGATCTCGGCGTGTCTGTGCCTCAGATTACGATTACAAATATCCTCGGCCTTCCGTAAGAATGACATTAACACATCCTTGAAATGCTCTGATGAAACACACACTGTAAAAACATTATTTTTAAAGTTGTAAATAAAAACAAAGATTGCAGTGCCCTGCATCATAATTGCTGAATAAAATCCAATGCTAATTTATGGGGTGCTGATTCCAAAAATAGTGTCTCATTTGCTCACAAAGTATGATGCATTTTGTAGCAGTTTTGCTTTCGACAATCATTTGTAAGCTGAACAAATCTTGTATTATCACTTAATAACCAGAAAAATTGCCACAAACACGATTCCTATCATTTTTTTGAGCCAGCCTACTAATATTTTTTTCAATTTTCAGCTGATTTTTACGTTTACAGTATAAATGATTCAGAAGAGGTTATCTTATGCCTCATCCTGATTTCAAGGTCAGAATTGTGGCCAGTAATGGAAGAAAATACAAATGTGCTACATCTGTGGATGTTTCACTACATCCAAACAGTAACTGAAGATGACAGATTTTGTGAAAAAGCTTGTTTATAAACTTGGGTTTAGTAAAGTTCTTTGACCGTAAATGAGTATTTGAGCATATTTTTCCATTCCTTTAAATATTGTAAGGTAAATTATATATTTTGAATATCCTTTTCAAAAATCATCAAACTTTTGACATATGATTGATTTTGATATTTTAATCAGTGCATTAAAGCTGATATATTATATAGATTTATGTATATAATATGTCAGCTAAGATAGATAGATAGATAGATAGATAGATAGATAGATAGATAGACTAGCAATTTCTGAGTGAAACATTTTTCTACATCTAATTTTCATCAGTTTATCAACCATGATTTATCATGTTTTTTCATAAATGTTGTTGTCATTTATCGTTATCAATTTTCCAGTAGCTGTTTTATTCTGATCCTAATGAGGTTTTCTTGAGCTCTTAAAAAATACTCTACCAATCCATGTTTATTAACATGCAAAGGAAAGCTCAGGACTAGGAATTCCCAACAAATAAATCAATGGCAGGTAATTGGTGCTATATAGAAATGTAATACATTTTTGATGAGCTAGCAAAGAGTGAGAAAGGATAGGGTTGCACTGTACTATCAAAAAAATCAATTAAGCCATAATGTCTTGCCGAAACACTCAGTAGCTTTAGGGGGTGACATTTAGAGATGATTGCCATTTATAACACAAAATAAATGGCTAAATGGAAGCACCGATAGTGGCACCTTTAACAGATGCCACACTTTCTCCTCTTTCGCAAAATAGTCATGCACGGCGAGTAGGAGCGTGATAGTGTCAGCCTTTCAGATGAATCATCTATGCTCAGGACTTTTTTGTGATCATCAGGCTGAACTAAGTCATGTCTGGTTTTCGCTCGGAAGAGCCGTTCTCTTGTGTTCCTTCCCGGGCCTAACTTCTTCGCATGCAGAGTAAGCATGTAAGAAGTTTATTGGTGTAACCGTCTTAACCTCGGATTACCGTTCGAGCAGAACTTGCTTTCAAGCAGACACGGCGGGTAATCCACTCACGGTGAGTACAGGAGAACTTGGGGGACCTGCTAGACATCTAAAACAGTCACAATGTTTTATCTGATATGCAGTCTGGTCTTTAGGGCTGGTGGACGGCTACGGTTGGAGAAACGTGACCCTGGGTCCTGCATATTTAGTCTGTGGGTGTGAGGGGTCGGCTCAAGGGGATTGGAGCTGCTGTGGATCAGCGATTAATATTGATAGGAGAATGAGTGCCAAGCTGGTTTCTGTGACGGGGCAAAAAAAGTGTGCCATACAAGTGGATATATTGTATGAACGCATATGGGTCAGCCTCACAGCATTATGGTATTACATATGGTTGATTGTATACTGATTTTACATTATAAAAGCAGCACATTCTTTTTTGTTTTCTATTTTTTAGCCAAGTAGAGGCTGGAAAGTAATGAAGCAGCCTGTTCACATTATATATGTATATATTGTGACGAGTCGGCTGCCTCCCCCTAATTATCATCATCACCCCATCCCTTAATCGCCGCCCTTCGCCAGGCTCCCGACGGGAGTGGGTGCGTGAGAGAGGAGGGGCGCTGAAATAGCTAGGGGTGGCGGCCTGTGATGGGGCACACCTGAACCGAATGGAGCCTCATCACTGCCACTGTTTAAATGCCGAGCACACCTCTCCTCGGGAGACCGGTCTATTCCCCGTGCATGCACGCTGGTGTCCTCGTGGGTCCAGGAAGGGTGCATAGAGGGACTCCCGTGCCGCCAGAGTTGTGAGCTACCGGACCCGCGGTCCGGACGAGAACCGCCCGCGTTACACAGCCGCCAGGATGCCAGGGCGTCTAGTCCCTTCACACGCCGGGGTCAAGGCGAGAAGGATGCCGCCGCTGGAAGAAGCCTCCGCCCCTCGCGTCCCGGACTGGAGAGGGGAGCGTGTGCAGCCGCCGGACTCCGCCCCTTACCTGGACCCTTCCTTCCTGATCACTGCCCTTCCCTGCACGAAGCCCGCAGCACGACGAGGACACCAGATCCCCTGTTTTATTTTGGACACTAGATTCCACTTTTCCCTGGACACTTTGTTGTTTTATATTATTTTGTCAATAAAAGCCTCTCCAAGGCCTGACGCCACACCCACTGTGTCTGTCGTGTGCTCCTCCCGTGACTATATGTGTATATATATATATATATACAGTTGAAGTCAAAAGTTTACATACACCTTGCAGAATCTGCAAAATGTTAAAGGGGTGGTTGACTGGGTTTTTTCTAGGCTTGATTGTGTTTATGGGGTGCAGTCTAGCATGTGTTCATGCTTCGTTTTTTAATAAACGCATTATTTTTCACATAATTTACCTTTATTCCACACCGATCTGTCCCTTCTCTAGCAAACGCCTCGATTATTTCCTGTTTTTATGAAGCCCCTCCCTCAGAAATACGCGATGGGCTGAGATTGGTCAGCTGGCTCAGTGTGTTGTGATTCGCTAAACCGCCTCTAGCGCGTCTGAACATCCCGCCCCTCAAGCTCAAAATGTGCTTCAGTTGTATTGTAAACAATGACGTCCTCTATATTGCTTATCACTTCCTCTTCTCTAAAGCAGAGCAGACCTCGCCCCCTTTGCTGCGTGTTCCCGGGGGCGGGGTTTATCTGGGTTTGTGATGTAACGGACCTGGGAAGAAGCTCGTTGTAGTCCCTACCAGCCGTTTTTGTAGGCATTAAACTGCCAGAATTTTAAAAGACGATATCTCCGTTTGCATTGAACTTTCAGCACTGCAATTTTGCAGATATTGTTCATGCTCAACAGCAACATTACACACTAACTAACGTTAAAAAAGTGAAATCGCAATCAACCACCCCTTTAATTATTTTACCAAATAAGAGGGATCATACAAAATGCATGTTATTGTTTATTTAGTACTGACCTGAATAAGATATTTCACATAAAAGATGTTTACATATAGTCCACAAGAGAAAATAATAGTAAAATTTATAAAAATGACCCCATTCAAAAGTTTGTTCTTAATACTGTGTTTTTTTTCCTGAATGATCCACAGCTGTGTTTTTTATGTTTAGTGATAGTTGTTCTCGAGTCCCTTGGTTGTCCTGAACAGTTAAACTGCCTGCTGTTCTTCAGAAAAATCCTTCAGGTCCCACAAATTCTTTGGTTTTCCAGCATTTTTGAGTATTTGAACCCTTTCCAAAAATGACTGTATGATTTTGAGATCCATCTTTTCACACTGAGGACAACTGAGGGACTATTACAGAAGGTTCAAATGCTCACTGATGCTCCAGAAGGAAAAACAATGCATTAAGAGCAGAAGGGTGAAAACTTTTTGAATTTGAAGATCAGGGTAAATTTAACTTATTTTGTCTTCTGGGAAACATGTAAGTATCTTCTGTAGCTTCTGAAGGGCAGTACTAAAAAAAAAAGAAGATATTTAGGCAAAATAAGAAAAATATACACATCTTCTTTCTGTTCAAAAGGCTCTTAATGCATCGTTTTTCCTTCTGGAGCATCAGTGAGCGTTTGAACCTTCTGCAATGGTTGCATATGATATTTTTATTTTAAGTAAGTGCTGTTCTTTTTTAACTTTCTTGTTCAAATAATCCTGACAAAAATAATTACAGTTTCCACAAAAACATGACACAGCACAAACATTGATAATGAGAAGAAATGTTTCTTGAGTAGCAAATCAGCATATTATAATGATTTCTGAAGGATCGTATGACACTGAAGACTGCAGTAATGATGCTGAAAATTTGAAAAAAAATTTAAAATATTTCTGTTTTGATCAAATAAATGCAGCCTCGACTTAAAAAAAATCATTAAAAAACATTTTAAAATCTTACCAACAATAAAACAGCACAACTGTTTTCAACACTGATAATAAGAAATGTTTCTTGAGTAGCAAATCAGCATATTATAATGATTTCTGAAGGATCGTATGACACTGAAGACTGCAGTAATGATGCTGAAAATTTGAAAAAAAATTTAAAATATTTCTGTTTTGATCAAATAAATGCAGCCTCGACTTAAAAAAAATCATTAAAAAACATTTTAAAATCTTACCAACCCCAAACTTTTGAACAGTAGTGTACTTCTTACTATTATAAAGATATTT